TTTTTTTGCTTGCGAGTATTGTCTTCTGCACAAATGAGTGGCCTTTCAGCTCATGTCTGTCCAGGACTCATTTCACTGTGAATAATAACACTCTTTTACAATATTCAGCCATCATCTTAACAAACTGCTTTTCCTTTGTTTTAGGGTTAATACGCTCATTTCACAACAAAACACCTTCACCTTGAGAACACAGAACCTGTCCCCTTCCTGAGATATACGATGATAGAACATGTCTATGGTGTTTATGTCCAATAATACCACATTAACCTTAGGTGACCTTGAAAAAAAATTGCTGACCATTGGTCATCAATGAGTTCTGGCTTCAGACTGAAAGATAACTCAGTTTAGGCATGTTTGTTTGCCTTAATGCGTGTTCGTAACCAGCTGAATATCTGAATGTGAAAGAGCCATACAACCACAAACAGCGCTGGGCTGGACTGCTTGTTTTATTGAGGGTCTCTGCTCTCTCCATGCATCAGCAGCCAAAACAAGTAGAAGTGGGCGGATCGATATATCGATAATCATGATATCAATGCTGGTATTGATATTGAACAATACTCGTGTAAAAAGATCGCTACTCAAGCTTTGTTCTTTCCCGCACACACTGACTGCTGCACACGCGAATTTTTCATAGTGTACTCAATGTCTGTTGTGATGCACTGTGTCACACACAGCACGTAGACTAATATTTTAGATTATTGTGGATGAAGGGGAATGAAAATCTGACTAACTCATAAATCAGGAATAAAGCTTTACTCAAATGATAAAACAAAAATAAAAGTACTGTTGAATAACAAGGTTTTCTGTTAATAACTCAGAACACATTTTAAATTATTTTGACACCAAACCACAATGAGCATGGAAGGATGGTCGCTGACCCAGACAGGAGGAGATGAAGAGTGGATATTACATGGTTGAACTCCCGTGGACGCATGAACAACTTTGACTCAACTCCAGGAGGGCATCGCCGCTTGCAGGGACAGTGGTCAGATCTTGGTACCTCAGAGCTCATGTTGGTCTGGCATCCATTTCCCAGGAGTTCAAATCACCCAATTTGTTGGAGGTGATTTCCTCAGATGGAGGAGAACATGCAGCATGTTTTCACTGATCAAGTTGAAGACAGGTTCAGCTGTCTCTGGTTGCACCGTTAGCAGCAAAAAACTATCAACAGGAAAGAAAAAAATTGTGTAGGTCTTCTGGACGGGTTCTTCTCTAAAGAAACATTTCGTCTCTTTTCCAAGAGACTTCTTCAGTCTGAGAGTTTCAAGCAAAATTCAGGCTTTTAAGCCCAGCCTCCATGTGACTGATACGGAGGCTGGGAACCCATCCAGAAGACCTACACAATTTTTTTTTCTTTTTGATTTTTTACCTGTATCACTGAGATGCATCAGGACATTTTGAACCATTTTGGCCAGGATTGCCTGAAACTAGTTAGAGAGTTTGAGCAAACAGCAAGAAAGAAGGCGGACTACAGGAACCACCTAAGATTCAATCTCCGTTGCAGACAAAGTGGCATTTTCCCCAAGAGCCTTCAACTTAAATCCTCTGTTGGTGGACACAGAGCAAGCAAGATCCTCCAGAAGTCACAGACCCAGGTCCTGAACGAAAGAGTAAGACAAACTAACGTCACCATTGAAGCCAAAGAACAAGACATCAGACAAGAATTAATGACACATCTGGATCAGAACACATTCCATCAGGTAACAGATTTTACAGCAAAGGCAGGTTTAGCTTAGCATATCAAGTCTAAAACTTGACAACAGAAGAAGTTTGCTTTACTGGAAACTCGACTCTCTCCGCGGTACACATCGCTTGGACAGCACACCRCTTCCAAAGCAGAGGGGCGGGAGACAGAGAAGTGGGTGAAGAATTTGTCTGACAGAAAGCTCACCCAGCCAAAAACTGAAATTCTTGCCAGGGGACTGAACTTTGCGGTCGCACCAACAAGAATCCCTTTGGTTGAGATGATTACAGCCACAGAATCAGCCATTCGAAACAACAAAATCCCAGGATTTGAAGCAGAGCAACTTAGGAATAAAGTTTCAGCCTGCCTCAGCAACGCCAAACCMCCACCTTCTAATATCAGCAGAGAAGAGAGAGACGCTYTCACTACCCTCAGCAAGGACAAGAACATCATCATTCTTCCAGCAGACAAACGAAGGTGCACAGTTATTCTGAACCAGAAGGACTATGGAGATAAGATCATGACACTCCTTAGCGACACGACCACATACGAGCCGCTGAAGAGAGATCCAGGAAGTGGTTACAAGAAGAAACTAATAGATTGCCTGAAAAGATTAGAGCAGGACAAGGCTATYAATCGGATTCTGTATCATAGACTTTACCCAGGTGAGGCCACTCCTAGTCTGTATGGTTTACCCAAAATTCACAAACAGGATGTACCTTTAAGACCCATTGTTAGCATGATCAACTCTGTCACTCACAATGTTTCTAAATATCTGACGTCTATACTTGGTCCTTTATTTGGCAGCTCAGAACATCACATATAGAACACTATGGACT